TTTTTTTAAAATCTGTACAAGGATTTTACCGCTACATCTCCCTTGTATTCGACCCTATATGACGTTAATACTCAATTTACTCAATTATTATAGTAGAATAATAAATTCTGATTTGTATGACGATTCAATAGATGACCATAGATTTTAATAACCTAGTTATTTTATTATGAAAGGTAAATATACACAAAGCGATGTTTTCATTCAAATTTATTTTCGACCGTTCTCAATTAGTTCACCGACATTACTAATGTTTCATATTATCCTAATATTATTTATACGTTTATTTTATATAAATAATAAATATTTATAAATGTATTATGTATAATTATATAGAAATTGATAAGGCTTTGTATCTATTGGTTTATTTTGGACCTTAGTACAGCTTTAAGGTTTTAGGTATTTTTTTGTTGACCATGGTAGACATTTTCATATATTCTAACTAATGTTAGGATGTTTATGACATTAAAAACACTAAAATATACAGGTAAATATGCATAATAAATATCAAAATATGCCTTTAAAAAAAATTAAATATGTAATTTTAAGATTGTATAATTAGTCAAAAATGTATCTTAAATTAATATGTTACAACTTTTTTTATAACTTTAAACTTAAATACAAATATACAAAAATATGAATTTTAAAATTTTAATGAATCAATAAAAATATAAGTACTTACAGTAAATTAATATAAAGTTTTGTTTTTACTCAAAAGCTATTCAAATATATACACAAATGCGTTGATTTATTGTCACTGCTTTCCTTTGTTTCACTTTTAATATAGTTCTAAAAATAATATAAGAATAAATTAAATTAATTGGAATTTAAATTCTAATTATTTTTTACATACTTATTCTCTGAATTGACTTATAAAACATACTTCATTTTATTTTTTTAATAATTTGAAACATTTTGTTTGGTACATTTTTCAATGATTCTTCAACATCATAAATTCTTGTAACTATAAAATTATACTTTATTATTTTACGTATAACTTTAAAAGATTCAGTTAATAATAATTTTCTGGTTTCCGTTAATAAAAAAAAATCAAAATTAGCTTAAACATAAATGAAGTTGGTTTCAAATTTGATTTTTTAAGCAGTTGTTGAGCATTGGTTATGCAAATTGCATCTTCAGAATTTAATTCGAAAATAACTGAAGACCATCATGGTTTTCACAATAATAGTTAAATTCCGATAACCACGGGCCCCACCTGGTTAAAATAGGTTCGGGGAGCAATGGAAAGTAATAATAATAAGTTAATAATATAAACCAGGGTTAAGAAACGTGTATAAAAAGTTTTATACGTTACTGCGATACCTATTTTAATTTTCCACGTATAATCTAACGATAGGTATAAAAATATTAAAAGTATTATAAATATCATAAATACAATGAACTTACTATAAAAACGTCTGCGATAAAATACTGATAATTATTTATAATAGTGATATGGGTTTACGATATATCAAGGTTTATATTTTATTTAAATTATTTTTTGACAAAATATACATTTATTCATAGGGTTTATTTTAAATATTATGCAAGATAAAATTGAATGTATCTGATTCTCTGTCATAAAAAACGAATTTATTACTGGGTTTGCAATGCGTGCACGACTAAAAAAATAAATATGCATAAGTCATAAACATCCTAACGACTTAACCTTAATTATAACAATAAATACATCAAAAATTTGTTTACTATGAAATATAATAGATTTGATATGTATAAGTTTCGTCTTCCACCTTTCGAAATCACGTGTAAATAATATTATAAAATGAGTACTTAAAATAAGTTTATCATCACAAATATTATTTTAGGAAATATTGGAATCTATCTATTAGGTATAGGTATTCAATAATTTTTTGTATTACATAAATGTCTATGCTCCGTATAATTATATTATTTTTAAGTTACTTGGTACTCAATCTATAAGACCACCTATATTTGTTTGAAATCAAACTATGTATTAAACTTAATTTCTTTTAAATATTTTATTGTATACAGTTATACCGACTACCTGCTGAATTGTTAATATACAATAGAAAAATAAATTACTTATAGCCATATAAATACTATATATGTATTATATCCGTGTGGTAAAATATTTTAAGAAATATATTTTTATTTAGACGGTCTACACTTAGAATCGGTTTTCGTATATTCCTGATTTACCATTTAGTTGAAATCCAACACTTCTATTACACTGGGTTACTCAATGAGTAACAAGAACATTCGACAGTCTTCATCTGATATACAGTAGAACTTCTTTGATTTTTAATTATACAATTTTAAGTAAAATATTTTTTTTCTATTAATTGCAAATATTTAACAATTTTAATTGAAGTTGTCAAATATTATTTGATTTTTTAGTTACACTACGATTTACTTTTTGTGTTATATTGATAATTGAGTCAACAAAAGAAAACATTTTCTGTTATTGGTAATACTATAGAATAGTTATATCTACATATTGAATTTTTATATTTGTATATATATAAATGAATTCTTAAAACAAATTATTTAAAATTTATTTCAATTTTTTTTTTCTTGAATTTTCGACAAACTGTAAATATGCCTACAAACGATATTTATTAATTAATATAAAAAAACAAAATAAAATAAATTATCTAAACAATTCTATAAAGACTGAAGACTTCAAAGAAAGAGCCATTCAGTAATAGAACTTCATGAATTTCCGAAATTAAATCTTAATTTAATGATCTCTAATTTTGAAAATAATTTTAGGTAAATGTAAAAATGAACTTGTTTGTAACAAAATTCAAAAAGTCTATTGTTTAAATGATTTCAAGGTATTTTAACAACTGTTCAAACAGGTTTTTCTCTATTGGTTTAACTGTATGCTCTTGACGACGCACTATACCTAGTCGGACGAATTAACATGTATACATATACTACAGAGTACAGACAGTTGTCATGATAGGTACATATGGAAAATTTGCATTTGTTATTTATAGTCGTGTAGAAATAAACGGAATATTCTAAGCTGGTAATTAAACACTATTATATCAAAATTCAGTAAACGGTGGTGACCGCTATGGTATCTTGTGAGTATACATAATATACATAATGTACATTATATATATATCTATATATATATAATACATATATCAATATATTATATACACTATACACTACACAAATGCATTGTCTAAATCAACAAAATTATATAAATATGTGGAATACTATAGAATTATACATATTATAAGACCTTGAGATTATTTAACAATAAATATGATGAATATTTTTTATTTCATCATTAAGCTGTTCCGATTCACAAACGTTATGCAGTTATGTGTATATTATTATACAAATCTAATAACACCACTAAAATAAAATAAAAACCGACATACTTTTGCGTACATACAAAAGAATATTGAGGAAATCCGTCATTATTCAATAAAACGTATATGTCCAGAAAACTGGTTTGTTGCGCGCATAATTGTTGAATTGTGCCAACATGTAGCAGTGGGATAATATTGTACAATGAACAATAATGCAATATACGTCATATAGCATTATAATACTAAACTAAGTTTCATATTTTCGAAGTTTTAAATATTTCTAGTTACATTTTTTTTTACTTAATAAAATAGAAAAAATAATTTTCTCTATAAAACTATTACCATATACCTACTATTTACACACTATTACTTAGTACACTTTAGTTTCATTAAAGTTTGTAGTGAAATACGTAATTTATATAGTTGGTATGTTATATAATATATGTTTTGATATCAATTTAATGTTTAAACAAGTAATTGATTTATTATATTATACGCTTGATTTTATTTATTTAACGTCGAATATGTGTAATTTGACTTTTCAATTTAAAATATTAACTCCTTAAAAATAAAGTTAATTTATAGTTATTTTGAAACATTTCAAAATAGAATATCATGTTAAATTATCACAATTATTTATTCTATAGTATTTAGTATATTATGCAATATTCTGCAGTAGTTGTCACGCTAAATTCTACATTATCATATTATTTTAATAAAATATGTTGTTTAGTTGTGTTTTTTAATAATTAACCGACAAACATTTTTTGTCCAAAATATTTAATAGATTATAATATACTTGCATAAATAATTTATTCATAGAGTGGTTCATTACTAAAAGTAGGTTATAACTATTGAGTATAATAATTAATAGTACGTCGAGTAATTGTAGTTAAATGAAATTGATTAATAATCTAAATAATTATACTTGTTGAATTACGCATTTAATAGTCTGTAGTTATACTTAGTTATTTATGAGAATTGACCCTCCTCCCTTGTGGTTTATAAAAGCATATAGGCTCTATATAAACTATAGAGAGCATACTTTTTAATGCATGTATTTAGGAGCATACGTTTAATACTTGGATGTTGGGTTTATTTATCATAGGACGACTAAAGTATATAACTTAAAACATAGTTATAAGTTTATAACTTATAAACAATTATTCGTAATAATTATCATGATACGCGTATCTACTACCTAAATATAATATTGTGATAATGAAATTTGTGATTAAAGTTTTTGGAAATTCCAATAACATTTATAATTCTTACATCAAAAATATACATTTCTCCAAGTAAATGATTAAAATATATTGTATTAATAAATTATATTATATTTTTATTTGTATTTATACTTATGGGATATACCGATATATGCAGTATAACCTATAGTTATAATATTTATTATTTATATTTATGATACTATTATGTTACATACATATTCAAATTAAAAATCATAATATAATATCTACATTGTATTAACATTGGATATTGATTTTTATTTACATCATTAGAATTCATAATGAATGGTATACGTGATGTATACCTACATGAACATTTCGTAGATATACACAATACACACTCATTTAGTATTATAAGTAAATAAATAATTGTTATTACTCTTAAGATTTTTGATTATATATTATTAAAAATAATGAATTCAATGCATTAAAAATGTTACTATTTTAGGTGTTAACTACTCCTAGTAATTCTAGTGGAACATTGAATCCTGAAGCACACGAATTCAAGTACAAGTCATTGCCTGAAAACGATGAATCAAATAAAAAAAATTCGGAAAACGACAAAAAGACTAAAGGTATTTAAAAAATAAAAAGAACAATGAAAATTATTTTATCTTTATACTCATGTAGACTTATAGTATTTGTATTATACACGGATTTATGTGTTATACCTATATGTACTAATATATTATGCTAATACAACATTATACAACGTATATAAATATTGTATTATTATTAGGGAAATAATTAATTACAACAGTATTGAAAAAAAAAATAAATAATCTTACATATGTATAAAAATACATTTGATTCGTGTAACATTTAATATTTTAAATATTTCATTTGTGGTCTGTGAAAATGTAAAAGTTTGATAATGATTCATTGCTGCATTGCTGCTATAATATACTTTCGAAGTGAACGTAGTATCGAGCTGAAGAATAGTATCGACATTATTGAATGCGTAAATTATTTGATTCGAAAAATTCCATATCGAACACAATGTTTAGAAAAATAATCCCGAGGAAAACTTTCACCCTAAAAAATGTGATAGCAAATTACGTATGCGTGGGAGACTATTGCGACGCTACGTTCTCGTCGGAAACCAAAATTGTGATACGATAAGCCGCGACTAAAACCGTGTTATTTTTGATAATAATTGGTTAACGAGTACACGATTACGAACCTAAATAACGACCAAAGTAATATAGTAGTTTAATTGTTTTATATTATAAAGAAATTCTTTAACAAGTAACACAGGCTAAATGTTAATAGAGTGAACACATTTGCACGCATTATAATATGCAAATTTGTTACAATTTATTGTTTTTTTACTCGGGTGCCGGGGTGCATAACAATAAAACATTAGGTGTACATTAGGACCATATACTCGTAGGATAATAACTAATAAGCAATATATATTATATTTCTAATGGAACTATATAAATAATACATAACTATATTATATTATATAGTCATATAGGTATAGCTGGTATAGGTCTAAGTTATAAAGTCCAATTGTATGATTTTGAAGTACTTTTATAAATGTTAAAAAAAACGTATTAGATACATTTACCTACACCATAATAACATATAACTAGCGGGTAGTGATTCGATAACGACATTGATCGGGAAAAACTCTGATGATATATTACCCATTTCATAAAATACATATCCATAGTACTTACGCAAACGCAAGTAATACCTGTCATCATTATCATGAATCATATTTCGAACATGGAAATAACTAATAAGAGGTGGGTAAAGTCTTTTAAAAGTTATTATATAATATTATCTACCTAGAATTTATAGTTTATATATAACCACTCCTCTTTATAAATAGAACGTGTTTACAATTTGTACATCATAATTTATGTGTGAATGTTCAAGGTATTATAAATTTATAACTGCATTCTGCATGCTCTGTAACTCTAAGGAGTCTATTTACACATTAAATCCGCTAGAATGGCGCTTCTTTTCTCAAAAAATTCAATATAAATAAATTAAAATTTTTGTTTTCAAAAAATAGCTTTGGAAATAAATTGTACTGAATAGGTTATAGTCTAGTTTATAATCCTTGTCCTAGTAAAAATGTAATTTAAATTTTCGTCAATAAATATTTTTATAAAAATTTAATAAATTTTGAATTTTAATAAATTGTAATATTATTATTGCTTTTAAAATTATTTTTTATTTTATCGACAAGGGTCCAAGTTTTTGTATTAAACACCTACCAATGATAAGTCTGCGTCAAGCTATGGTTTACATATAACATTTTTATAATACTCTTATACTTCTCCACTTAATGTAACTTGTTTAATAATAATTTCTTATCTAATGAAGTATTGAGTAATACAATAAAAGAAAATTAAGTGGAAAGTTTTAAAAGGGAAACAAACGTCTTCTTGGCCGTCCATCATCATTGGACGAGTGTTACACCGCATACAATCATATCATGTTCAGAGTGATTCCGAGATCTGTATGAATTTTTATACTTTTGTTTTTGAGTAACAATTAATGTCGACAATTTGTTTAGCAGATAATGCATACAAAATAGATCATAATATAATTGCATATAAATGTATGTATTACGGATAACAACATATTTGAAAAATTATGTATTGTTAATTTTATATTGGTCATATACTTTCTTGCAACAATTTCATTTCAAATCAATTAGAAAGTACTTAATAATCCACAAGTGATAAGCGATCGGACGTCGTATTCTTTAATAGTTTAATGTTTTATTGTAGCGGTAACCACCTGGGGTATGCGAGATTATTTCGAGGGTACGTGAAAAAAATAGATTAATGGTGGAAAATGTTGAACTTGTTTCTTTAAAACGATTCGTTTCGAAAATATTCAACATATTATGTTATTAAAAATGAAAATTTGTATCACAAATTAAAACTTAACCGTCAAATTAGGTATCTAATAGTTATGGAGTATAGAATGTAACCACGAATGTTTTGTTATTTTTTATTTAAATATTTTAAACGTAGTTATGCGAAAAAGTTAAAAAATTATAATGAGGGGTAAAATCTAGCAAAACATTAAACTTAGGGGTACGTAACGAAAAAAAAGTTAGGAACCGCAGTTTTATTGTATCGCCCCAGAGTCTGGAAGCATAGAACAAAAGCAACAGTCAAATTTAACGAAACGTTTTAATAGCAAAAAAAAAAAAAAAAAAATGCCTTAAACTTGTGTAAATGTATATTTACTTTTAATGACTCAAAATTATATTTAACTTAAACGTTTCACCAATAAAACATTCAGTTTTCGTGATACCTATCAAAAAAATGATAACAAAAAAACAGTATACGTAATATTTTGTACGAGGACAAATTTTTGATTATTATTAATCCTCAAAAAAATCTAAAAAGCACACGGGTAGGCGTATAATATATTAATGTGTGAATGGTTTTTGATGCGTTAATACATATTTGTTTTGAGCTCTTTTTTTTGTGCACTCTAACTCAAAGTTTATGACGATGAGCTACGGGTGTTGGCCGACGGGTTGTGAATTTTGTAATAATATAGATCGAGACGACCGCGTGTAATCAATACGACGGCGGCTGCCGTGCCTAATAATAACTAATAAGTAATGATTCCTTATCCGTGCGAGGTGCAAATCAGCGGTAACCGGTCGCCAACGCCGTCTCGCGTCTGCAGTGGCCAGCGTCTACCGATTATTATTTAAACAACGAGGTGTGATCGAACTATTTGACGGTCAAATCCTTCGGTTAGGTTACGTTGTTACGTAACACATACACTCGTACACACATTACTCATTATATAATTATTATAGTAATAATTTAATGGTAATAATAATGTGATAGTACGGGTAAGCGAGCGACGCGTGCGCAGAATCGAACTAAATCCGAACCTTTGCGGTAATGCCATATTGTTTATGTTATGATGATGGGTAGTGCACTAGTGCTGTGCTCCACGACTTATTGCTCCCGGCACCGGCACCCCACCGCGCGAAATGTGGCGTGAGCAGCTGTTCTGGCAGCGAATGGCGAACGAGTGATAATGAAACTTGTGTTATGATAATATTAATAATATTAATGATAACAGACATCGCCGCCCGCGTCCACACAACAATATGCTTGTCGTGTGTTTACTATATTATTATAGTCGCGGAAAAAGGACGGGACTACGGTAGTCACACAGATGTCGCCACCGTCTGCGTTTTATCTTCCATGACCGCCGTGAACTCTGTGGCATGTGTTCGTGTTGTCGTCCATTTTGCAATGCTATAATTTTTCTATCGTCCGCGCACGAATGATATCCCACTAAAATACGTTGCGTCTCGAGTGGCGCCGTCCGGTTGTTGTTTTCTCTCACATCGCTGTCCCGTCCGGGTTTCTCTCCGTTCGGCGACGGTGTGCATCCTTCGTCCGCGCGGTGATCGATTTTTCAACGCACGCGTTTTCGGGACGGACGACTCCGACTAAGTTATACCGAGTACCGGACTACGACGACCACATATCATACAGACGTACAGCCATCACCGGGTGCACGTCGACGCGAGCTGTAAGTAGTAAATACTAATCAGTCGGATACGAATAGCAAATGATCAAGAGAGTAATGAGACATGAAAAATCTTCTGTCCGGTACGGTTTAATATAAGTATGTTTGGACTCTCGTGATAGTGGACGTGTGCGTTTGAGCGAGCGCGCGCGCGTGCGAATGAGTGTATGTGTATGTGTGTGTGTGTACGTACGTTTGTGCCACCGCCGCCGTCATCAACTGTCTAGTCATATAAGGCTACTCAGTGGAATTTGGCGTGCGTGCACATGGTTTTCTTCTTCAGCAGTAGACGAATGCTGGTGTACGGAAAATAAAATATCTTATCAAACTGCTGTCGCCCACAGCACTACGGTTAAAATATGTGTGCCGTGGCCCGTAGCTAAGAAAAAACCTCGCTGTCGTGGCCGTGTCAAAAATTACGCACCCGCATATTTCGTTTAAAATTCAATTCGAGTTTCTGTCAATCATTAATTCCGTTCGTCGTCGACTGTTTCGGTTTGTTTTTCTTCAAATGTTGCTGCGTAAGAAGGCGGCCGAAACAGCAGGTAAGCGTCCGGCGACCGCGACCGCGTTTGCAGTTATACCGTAATTGTAGTAGATCAGATATTCTCGGGGTCGTGTCCGTTTTATACCTGATCTGTGAGCGTGTCTCTCCCCACACGTACACTTGTGTGACACGACACAGAGAATCCTCGTACAAGAGTCCAAACGGTAATTTTTTTTTTTATAAATTCTGTCTGTGTGTGTATGTGTGTGTATGTATAATCAAATCGGTCGCCATTGGCATTCGATAGGTTCGGTGTGATAGGCGTACACTATATTACTACTGGCGTGTGTATAGGTTAACCCGTCGAGAAGTCGTATTCGGCTGGCTGATAACCTACAAATATATATGTGTGTGCACTGCACTGTGCACCACACCGAAGGTTTTTTTCGATTGCGATTTTTACTCTCGTCCGTCGGTTCCAGTCCGTCGCCCTTTATACGGGTTTTTATTTTTTAAACTTATATTACGTATATTTATAACTGTGCTATCTACCCATACTAGTGTATCATCGTGTAAGGAGTTTGCACCGTTTTAATGTAGGTAGATTGTACATATTATTATTACTATTATTATTGCTATTGCCACCACACTTACTGTGCTGACGTTATTATAGACAATCTCCGAATATAATTTATTTTTTTCATTCTATTCGACCCCTGTTTGCTGGTAGATTATTTGGAGATTAATTGGATGATTATTCTTTATTTTAGGTTTGACTAGTAAATTTACTGTTATCTGGTTAAATCTCTGATTATGTTACTTTTCATACAAAAAGTTTGTTTTTTATTTGGTCCACGCCCCTTAAAATCTTGAGTTTTGTATTTGTTCATTTTCTAGATGATTGACTTTTATAAATTCTTGTCTTACACCTTTAGACAGCAGTTGTGTACATATTTATGTAAAGTGTGTTATCTGCGATATTGATGTTATACCTGCCAATTTTCATTACCTATAAATTTGTTTTTATTGAGGTATTACTTAGTATTTTGGCATGATTTAATGTTATCCATCACTATGTACCAGTGTATTGTTTATGATAATACTGGATAAGATAATAACCAATAATTATTCAAAAATATAAAACTGCATATTTTCTTTGAATAATATAGTTGTCTCCATTAACAGTTAATTTTATTATACAAAGAATATAAACTTTAATATGAGTTATTACTTATGTCAAGTGCATTTTTTAGCAGTATAATTGCTATTTGATGAAAGGGCTCCATTTGATTATGTAAAAATACTTAATATCAATGATAATATACTTAGGGACAATTCATCAAAATAATATGTTATGAATACATTACATGAGGTACCGAATGGTCTTATTTGAAAATGCTGATAATACATATTTTGTTTAAACTTCAATCCAAATATTTACTTGAAAATTTAATATTATCTACTAAAATTGACTAATTGAAGCTCTAACATTGACACTTTATTGTATTTTATTCAAATATTGGAAATAAGACGTTATTTACAGCTAAATTGAAAATCAATAGATATAATTTTTAGTAATATATTACAATACTATTATAATTTTAGTTAAATTTATATTTTCAATTAAACTTTTATTATTCCAAGCAGTTAACATTTTTAGAAAACGAATGTTCATCTTATATACTTAGCCTCCACATGAATCGCTTTTATGTATGTATTTATGATAATACCTTTATGTAACTTTTATACAATAACTTAAATTATTTAAATTAGGCTTAAAAAATCCAATACTGTATTGCCTATACAATTACAAATTAAGGCATTTTAATTTTTTCTAGTTAATTCATGTATTATATAGTACATATTATATTTTGTTATTATTTGATTATCAGACTTCAGAAATTGTTGTACACCTATATTTAAATATTTCTATGTAAACTTTGAATATCGTTTTACAGATAAATACATTTTTTTTAAAATTGCCACAATTTCAAATTTATCCATTTTTGTTAATCTAGATTTTTCAATTAAATGTAAGTAGAATTTTAGGATCATGTATTATATTGATATTGAATTGGATAGCGGTAACTTATTTTAAAAATCTAAAGTAAAACAATGATAAGATTACAAAGTTTACCTTATTGAAAAAGTTTTAATTTGTATTTTCAATTAGCTTTTTATGTTGCTATTTCCAAAAAAAATTGTGATTTCAATAAAATGTAATTTTGTTGTTGGTACATAACTTTGTTTTTACTTTAATACAAAATTATGTACTAAATTATTTGATAATTTCATTAAAAAAAAAAATAATTTTGTTATAACGTTATATATTTTATGTGTGGCTAATAAATCATCTTTACAGGATATATGTATATGAATGGAGACGTAGGAAAAATTTCAATTGGGACACATTACAGTCCCTCTGAACCACTGACTGTTTCAACTGCCACGAACACTTCTTACAGGTAAATTTAAAATGTTACAATTTTAGAAATATTTTTAATAGGATGTCAGCATATTATTTATATACTCTTTCTAGTCCACCATCCATATTGTTGACTAAATGCTACCAAACAAAATTATTTTTCTTTATGATACCTATAGTAAAATGACTTACTACAAAATATATAGAAATTAATAAGGGTTAAACTTATTCATTAATCTAAATATTATCTCAAACAAATTTAATATTTATTTAAATAAAAAAAAATTTAAGTCTACTTAGTGTAAAGTCAAATAATAACAAATTATCAAACCTGTTAAAATGTTATTTTATGGTATTAAAAAAAAAAAAAAAAAAAAAAAAAAAAATGATTTTATGTAAATCTTTTTTGTCTATATTGCATGTGAATTTGAGAGAAAATAATTATTGCACTGACATCCGATTTATAGAACTACTAGTAATTTAAATGCACATTATTAGAACCTACTGATTTAAAAAACATTGTTCATTATGGTGTCGAAATGTTGCTAAAGTAATTTATAATCTTATAGCAAATATTTATGTAAACATATTTATTTTGTGTTTATACTTGTGTAAGTGACAAAACATTTTTAATTTATGAAATTTTTAGTATTCATATTAGTTATTTTACAGTTATATTATTACAGAGGCTGTAATATTATAGATTTTGTATTTCAATAAATTTCATTTAGAATAATTAGTTAGTGGTAAATAAATTGTATTCAACATATAAATCTAAATTCAAAATTTGTTTTTTATATATAAAAAGTTCGAGATATTTCTGCATGAAAAATTATAAAGTGTTTCTTATTTTTATTTTATATTTTGTGGAAATTATAGCCAAACATGTTACCTACCAGTATAAATCTGAATGAACATTTATTATTCATAAGTTATTAAAAAAAAATAATTATATTTTTATACTTAAAGCTTCTTTATTTATTACTGTTTTTCAGTAATAATATTTAAGTTTATAAATACTATTTATTAATTTAGAGCAACATTTTTCAAGGTACCTATATTAAGTTTTTTTTTTCATAATTTTGTTTCAATACACATTATTAAAACCTTATTAAATTAAACTATTTTTATTATAACGTCAAATGAATACTGTAATATAATTATAATTCTCAAATTAGTTTGGGACTATATCTACAATACTTAATATTTTTAAATTCCAAGTCATTTTTTTTTTTTTTCATTAAATTCTTTTAAATGTTTGTAGTTGACAAGCATTGATATACATTTCTCCATAAATTAAATACTTAAATAAATTTACTATTAATAATATTATATCTTGGCAGTATAAATGAAGTTAAATTAAGTAGGTACTGAATATTTTATTTTTTTATTGTAGTAGTTTAAAAATGAAAAAAAGCAATAGGTTGAAAAATGTTTATTGTTTATTTCTTTTAAATTAATGTTAATTTTTCATAATATGTTGAACAAAATATTTTACTTTTTACAAATCTTTGGATCTAAATTAACTGGACATTTTGAATAACCCTTATCTTTTTCTTACTATAATTAATTTTAATTTTAGGAATACCTTTTCAGTTAATTAGAATAAATAATGCACATAATTAGAGCCTAATGATTTATAAAAAATGTTCATTATGGTGTCGAAATGTTGCTAAAGTATTAAATGACCTTATACAAATTTTTATATAAATATATTTATTTTACGTTTATACTTTGTATAAGTGACAAATTATTGTATTAGCTTATTAATATTTTTAGTATTTATAATTAATTATCAGAATAATAAATTTAATAGTTATGTGTATAAATTAGTTTCATTTAATTCAAATTATACAAATAATAAACTTAATTCTAGTCTAAACTTGAATTTTTGCTTGTTTAGAGTAATGTGATTTTCTTGCAACTATATATTTTTTTCCATTGTTAAGTTTTGAGTGAAATCAACAATTTTGAGTTTTCATAAATATCAGTAAATATCTTAATAAATGTCGTTGCTTCGTTAGAATACTTTTCCTAGTTACCTATATTATAGCAATACAAATCTTATACATTTAATAGTTACTTAGTTCTCAAATTAAATTTTACATTGATTACTTGATAAAAGTACAACCCATATTAATCTTAATGATAACGATTGTAAGTATACAAATGTTTATTTACCAATTACTTTATATTACTGACCATATTCATAATAATTTGTAATTTTAAAATGTGTTTACAAAATTTATTAAGATGTCATATGTAAAACTTCATATAATTATGACAAATTAAGTAGATACTTCCCCTTTAATTATTCATCATATATTGTAATTTATTTTGTGTCACATTAGATATATAGTGTTCGGTGGCCAATTTCCATTTGGTATAGTTAGGTACCATATTTATCTTCAGATTAGCTGAAGTGATATTACCAGCTCTATAATTATGTCAAATAGTTGACTGAGTATAAGATTGCGTATAATAATATTGTTACTATAAAAAATATGAGTTAAAATTAAAATTTAGATTATTTTGATTTAAGGTTTACATATTTTTATTACGATAATTAATAACTTAATTAGATTACTTATTTGTTTTATTATTGAACCATCAATATCGATTTACTAACAAATTATTATAAATATGTATTAAGAATTAATATATTTAATTTTAAATGTAAAAGAAAGTTATGTGAATTTTTAAAAAGTCTTGGAGGTTAATTGGATGTTAAATAAATAATTCTTATTTATGTATTAGACTTAATAAGATAAAATAACATGAATTAATATATAATTGAGTTTTTTTTTATTATGTTTTTAATGTTACAAAATGTATGCATTCGGAAATTGATACAATAAATTAAAAAAATTGCAAATTTATTTCAGTGGAAAATTTTGTAACAGATATATAATTATTTTATACTCCCTACCTCAATGGAACACATATGTGGCGATTGATTGAAATAATTTTTATGCTGTGTATTCTCAAACAAGATAATCGTCATATAGCAAAGGAATTGCATGTATTGTATGTTGTTTCATTTAAATGCACAATCTCTGTGTTCTCTCGTTGCACAGAGTATAGTAGACTTAAGTACTTATATTCTCAATTTTTAGACAATTGGTTATAACTGAATATATGAAAAATATTTTTAAATTATATTGTATAGTTTGATAAAAAAAGAAAAAACACATTAGTTGTAATTATAATATTCTAATTTATATAAATATTTATTATTTATATTTATTCTCAATTATCCTTTAAATGTTTTTGTTTATCCTTAATTAAAATATATGATGTTAAAAATTATTTTTAGTTCCATAAATGGAAGTTATGAAGTGTCAGCAACGGATAGTAGAAGTGGTACAGTAATTTTAACTGGAAAAAATAGCACAATGGTTAACGCTGAGACTTCTACTGAAAATATGCCATCGCAATCAGTAGAACAACTCAAACAACTTCTATCAAATCAGTTAGAATATTATTTTTCAAGGTAAAATTATAATTTTCAGTTATAAATCTATATTTATTATTATTTTTTACATTTAAAAAAAAATTATCACTTTAATAATGTATTGAATAGAGAAAATTTGGCAAATGATGCGTACTTATTGTCACAAATGGACAATGACCAATATGTTCCAATATGGACAGTTGCCAATTTTAATCAAGTAAAAAAATTGACTAAAGACATAAAGCTGATTACTGAAGTACTGAGAGGTAAATTTTGTTATTAATATTTTTACATGTTTAATAATTGAAAATCTTCAATTAGAGTCGCCAAATGTACAAGTTGATGATGAAGGATTAAAAGTCCGCCCAAATCACAAACGTTGTATTGTCATATTGCGGGAAATTCCTCAAACTACTCCAATTGAAGACATTAAGGTTTGTTAAAATATCAAATTGATTAACTTATTCATTAATCAATTGTTATTATATATATACTTTAGATTAGGAGTTTTTAATTCTTGGTCTGTTATAAATCTTCCATAGTATGAAAATATTGTTATATTTTTAACTTTTCCAATAAATTTAAATTCATTAATTCACTATCCTTTATTTTATTGAAATAAAGTTGTAACAAAATTTAAAACTGTGTGTCAATTACTAAATTACTTATGGTTACTATTCATAAAATTAACTTATAAATTAAGTTTAATAATTTTGTTTTGCTAGTGCTGAAGCCCTATTGATCAAATAAAAGTGAAAGGGACTCTTGGATCCATGTTGGAAAAGTTCCTTTAAAAATGAAATTCTTCGCTTTATTTTTTTTTTTTTTAATAAGAATTTTTTCTTTATCTTACAAAAATTATTACCTTTTTATAGAAATATTCTTAAGTATTTATTCTAAAAAATTATTTAAGTTTGGGAGCTCATAATCGTTAATATTCTGCCTAATTATAGATGTTACGTAATTAGTTATAACTAAATTCCATATAGAATGTTAATAGTTTAAAAAGTTTTTAATTTTTCATTACTTTTGCACATCATTAAAACTCATAGTATTTCTAAAAAAAATTTTTTAACAGGGATTATTTGCTGGTGAATCATGTCCTAAAATGATATCATGCGAGTTTGCTCATAATAATTCATGGTACATTACTTTTGAAAATGATGAAGATGCACAAAGAGCATTTTTGTATCTTCGTGAAGAGGTTAAAGAATTTCAGGTTTGTAAATATTTATTAGTTAGAATAAGGATTATATTATTATTTAACATTAATAAATACACGCATAGGAATGATTTTCAATATTAAATTTATAATAATAATAAGAACATTTATTATAAAATAACTTAATAAATTACTAACTAATAAAATCATAAAAAAGTATTAATGTTGTGGAAAATTATTTAATTTATTGTTATTATGCTAACTAATAAATAGTATTTCTGAAACGTTTTCATTAACTGTTTAATAATTAACATAAATGATTGTAGTTAAATTACTGGTATTCGTTATTTATCATATTTTCATGAATTTTAGCAATTGTTTATAACATGCGCTACCAACTAATGTATTATTTTGAATTTGAATTATAAAATGCCCAAGTATAAAGAAATTCAATTTATAATTAAAATTAAAATAACTTAATGCTTATGATGATAATTTATCACATTTTAATGATTTTAAGTGATTGATATTACATGCACTACCAACTGAAGCAATATTTTTATGAAGTAATATTTATAGGTTATAAAAGGGTTCTAGTCTATTAAACTTTCTTTATGTTGTACTTAAATGTTCTACACCTAGATAATTTACTTATGACTATAATTAATCTTGTTTAATGATCTTTAATGATAATTCAATACTTGCACTACCAACTGAAGTATTTTATTGAATTTAATTTTGTTTTTTTAAATTGTCAGGTATTAAAAAATTGTTTATACAATTTTAATTAAAATAATTCAATTCTTATGATGATAATTTATCACACATAATGATTTTTAGTGATTGTTTATTACATGCACTACCAACTGAAGTATTTTGAATTATTTTTTTTTATAATTTTGAAAATTGTCAGGGTATTTAAAAAATTACATTTA